CTAACATAAAAATATGTCATGTACACACTATCAACTCAAACACCAGCAAGTTTACTTTGACAATCCAAGATAACTTGTAAAAGTAAGGCATTTGTTTAAGACAAGATTTAAATGATACAGACGAGGCCATCTCTCTATCAACTTAAACTTTTAAATCGAGTGATTCAGAACACACAAAAAGGTCTCGAGTTCAAGTATGCATCTGGAGGATTTGATGGGGAAAATGGAACCCTGCCTACAAGTGAGCAGACATGTTGAAAACAAGATTAAAATAATATACATGTGGTCCCTCTCAAGCCGTTTAAGCAATTAGATCAAGTGGTTCAACAAAAAAGTTAATAATCAAGAAAAATTACCATGAAAGCTAAACTAGGGAAGTAATAAAGGACAAAGAACCAAGATTCCTATCAAAGAATCAAAGATCGTCAAAAGATAACATATTTACCAACTTCAGCAGGTAGAAGAATATTATAATATTAATAATTTACTAATTCAAAGGATCATTTCCCCACTCATCTCTGCTTGTGAGCAAAAGGAAAGAGCAACAGTAAAGGTGTACCTTCCTTCCAACCCATTTTGGACAGAAGCCTGTGACCAACATTATCAGCCTGAATTTTAGCTCTTTCTGCACACTCTATCGCTGCTTTCCGTGCAGCAGCATCATTGCAGGTAGACAAGAATTTCTCAAGCTCTTCAGGAGGAATATAATCACCCATGTGATGCCCTTTCTTCGATGAAGCTAGCACCATAAAGTATTTATGAGAAAATGTATCTTCATATACAATCAAAAATATAATATCTCAACGTTAGAACTTCAAACAAGCCCAGGCACAAGCACATGAATATTCATCCGTATGCAGACATGCGCTTTTAAAAGGGAGAACATCCCAAAACATGGATGCATCCACTCAGTAAGTTCAATGGATGTAAACCTTGAAGGGAAGCAGGCGGAGGCATCTCATCCTTAGAGGGTTTAGGAGGTCTCTGTTTCTCTTCTTGTGCAGCCTTCTTCATGTAGTATTCCATCATTGCTATAGGATCTGCACCAGTTGGGGCACTAGATTCACCTACAAGTTTAACTTTATATAAATATATAACCCAAACATAAAATACAATGCAAGCAAATGCATTACATTTGCACGAGATACAATCAAAGTTGCACTTTCTTGGAAAATAGTGTGTTGGATTCTTAAAGAAATAATCGTGCCTAATAATGCAACTATGTGATTTCAAATACTGACCTCTCACATGTAGTCTCTTCAGAGTAAGATTTTTATGTAGTAATATGTTATGGACTCTGATTCTGAGTATTGATAACATGGTGTTTCAAGGAATTATCCTACACCCAACCCGCCTTCCTCTCTTCAAATAGAAGGAAAGATCGCTACCACAGCTGTTGCAATTATCTTTTGAACGAAGTACCCACAGCTAATAGTTCAGGTTGTATTTCTAACCATTAATTATATACAGGACAAACTTCAGATTAATTTAAAGAAACAATATTTTATATAATGATGACCCAATCTGTTGGAACATTGTAACATATTTGAACATTATTTTCCATGCATCAAGCATTCTAAAACACATTTTCTTTCCATTCATTCCTGGTCTCATTTAAGTCACAAGCAGATTGAGAAGTAATTGTCCACTTCCAATGAACAATGATGCAAAATAATAATTACAGATCAAAATTGATCCAGAAACAAAAGGTGTCCAAATAATACCATATTTTTCACTTGATACTGAGGCCGTAGAAGCTCTTGTGTTCTCTGTAGGTTCATATAAAGCAGAGGAGGGAGTTTGATATTTCGAATGCTGATGATGTAATCTCTGAGAACCACTTGATGAATTGGGAACTGAGATTACAGACCCAACTTCAGTACCGAATGGTCAATGTTAATAAAAAAGTAAAAACTCATTAGAAAATGTAAGTAGTCACAGAATGTGAAATTTCAAGGATTTAACCAAGTTATGATGACAAAAAAGTTAAGAACGTACTAAGCTACAGTAAATAAACGATCAATCAGGGAAAAAGAGGTAGAATGCACAAACGGATTCTTGTTTATCATAAAAATTAATAAAAGAACCATCTACAGTTTGAATATTTTAGAATTGGTTACCTGTGCAACCAACAAATTTAGCAGTGCAGAGAAGTAATCACTCTCCAATCTCATCAACAGAAGAACTAAAATATTCTGAACACGGCTTATCGAAGTGAGGGTCTGAGTACGAGCACATTTCAAAGACACATTTCCATCTTATACATACAAGAATGGCTATATCCGTGGGAAAAATGAGAAGTTTTAGCTATTAGTCACATCTGAGCTGGATATGATTCTGAAGGTCCCAATTGGCATACATAATTTGCAGCATAAATACGTGAATCAATACACTAACCACTTTGCGATGTTTGGGAATCCCTGGTCTCTGACAGAACGTTTTGCTCTTCACTGAGCTTATATTCATAATACTTGTAATCTGAGCAGCTTTCATCAAATAGAAACCTGCAGTATGTGGTCAGTTAAAATCTAGAGCTTGAAAGTTGACCACAATACACGAATACTTGTCTATTCTGCAGGGCCATGCATGGTGAAAATGAAAAAATCATGTAGAAAATGAGTGGATCTTGAGAGAGGAAGATGAAACAAGGCATTATCATAATTTGTATTTGACAAGCAACATTATCCACTAAAATCAAATGATTTGCAGATCACTATGCTAATAGAATGCGCAAGAAAAATATTGGTCCATGTTCAACACTTGCAACATCTGGACTTCTAAAGGCGGATGGGAATTAAAATATACACTACACAAGAGGGTTATGACTCATGACCAAGTCAGTTCAAACTTAGTATGATCAATCCAATACAACAGACCATTGAGCCTTGACAAGTAGATAGGATATATATAATCTCAAATATCTTATAGAAAAGTGCCATTGTCAAATTTAAAAGCAAAATCATTACACTGAATAATGGCCACAAGAAAAACCCCAATAAGAAGCGTCTTACTAAAATAATTAATAGTTGTAAAGAAATGGCGATAAAAAAGAAGAATATTGCCAGAAAAACTCCATTGTGGCTAAGAAGGTTGCATGGCACATAAGGGTTGAAAATAACAAATTTAATATGTTTGTGAATCGTCTTCTAAATATAGAATGAGTATGTATTAATTTAACAGGCAAGAGAAGCAGAAATGTAATCATTTTTTAATGTGATTATCATTAATTACATAACATATTCCTATATCCCAAACAGCATCCAGCATTCAAAGGGTTTCCATGTGTTACATCCAACAAAATGTCAAGGACAAGTCAAATGGGAAGAGATCTCAGTGGGTGTTATTTGGGATTCAACTTGCTCTTTACTATTTTTATCAAGTTACTCAGGTATCCAGAAATCAATAATATCAGGCCCATTCAGCGAGTTAGAATAGCAAGCATAGCAGTTAAGTGCTTGTTAGATAGTGGATATAAGTTATGGGTCCTACGTAATGTAAAGAACAAAAGTATGTTTGACCATCTTAATTTAAAATTTAAGCTTCCCAAAGATGCTTTAAGTAAGAAAATAATCTCATTTCAGCTTTATTTTTCTCTATTCTAGTTCATTAAGTAAAAGTAAAGTCAGAAAGGCTAATCCAAGAATCACATTCCAACTTTTGCGCAAGGAATCAGTATTCCAACTTCACCTAGAAACGACCTTACCCCTTACCTTTTCCCCAGTGACTTCCCCAGCCACATACCCATCCCTGCCCCATGACACCTCCAACTCCACCCTGTCAAAAAAGTCTCAATAACTATCCCGTCCTCATTAATATCTATTTTGCAAGTAATTATCCATTGGTGAGATCGCAGAGGAGTGGCAATAGGATCTCTTTGGGGGCAAAATGTGAAAATATTCATTTGCAGGTTTCTACATTTCAACAAGACATATAAATAAGCATTTTAATCTAGGTAGAATTTATATCAAAGGAAGCTTCCAATTCCAGGGCATCCTAGGCTTGGTTTGGTATGTTGTGCTTTCAAGCAAATAAACTGCAGCTGTGCAGTAATAACTTCGTAGATTTTTATTTCAAAATTGCTAATTATTTCAAAATCAGAAAATTTGTGCGTTTTGTAAAGAAAGGTGAGTTATCATTGCACATGCATGCAATTACTAAAATGGACATTGATTATAATTTTTTTGTTATTATTATCATCATTAGTAGAATTGTAACATTAAATTTACTTTTATAACAATAAATAATATTATCAAATATCTTCTAAAATAATATATTCACTAATAATATAAATTCAAAAGATTAACATCTATTAAAATCTCAAAATTTATAAAATTACAAAATAAAAGCATAGTCCATAAGGTAGAAAAGGAATTGATTTAATAAGTTATTGCTAAATTTAGTATTTTAATTATAGATAATTGGATAAACTAAAAACAGAGTCTGAAAAGCCGCGTTTGGTTTGTGTTTCAGTTTCCAATTTTGAGTTGAGTTCATTTTTAAAACAGACCCTCAAAATAGAGAACTAGAAAACACGTTTAATTTGAAATTTTGGAAAATTGTTTTATTCCACCAAATTTGGTTATTCAGTATATATAGAATAACTTTATGTTAATTTATTATCAAGTGATATACACATTTTAAAGTTTGTGAATTTTACAATATTTTTTTCTCACTACAAAATTAAAGTAAAAATAAATAATAAATTGGGTTCAAATTCTAGGAAATCAAAATAAAAATTGTGGATTGAAAATATTTTTGTGTGTTCATTTAAATTTTTTTTAGAATTTTTACGTAAATAATCATTACGAGCTTAAACTATTTCATTTTTTTATTTTTTATAATTCTAATTTTTAGGTTTTAGAGTTTCATTTTTTTATTTTTTAAACTTTATCAATTTTATTTTTCGAATTTAATTTTCTCAAAAATTATTTTTTTAGAATATTAAAATTTTATTTGTTAGAATTTATATTTATATTTTAAAATTTTTTTAATTAAACGTTTGTTTTCTATATTTTGAGTGTTTTCAAAATTTTCATTGAAAACTCTCAAACATCAATAATGTGTTTTGAGTTTAATGTTCTAAGTTTATCCTTGTTTTCAAAAATGCATTTTCAGAAATATTAGATGAAACACATTTTCAGTGTTTTATAAAACTAAAAAGGGCTTGAAAATAGCAAACCAAACGCCCCTAACATTTTGTTGCTTCTCAAAACCTATTGTTTCTATAATCATTTTTTCTTAAATTTATCAAACGCCTAAAATAACATCTAATTGTCAAAACAATTAGAAGTTGGGCTAAAAAATAACATCTAGTGCCAAAGTAGCCTAAACTTCTTATCTTAGAAGGAACAGCAAATCACAGGAATACATAATCAGGTTGATATTGGCTAAAAACCAAATAAGGGCCATAATAAATAAATAATTCTAAAATATGATAAACTCTTCTCCCCAGCAACCCACTTCCCAAGACAATTTACCTAGGAATAGTAATGTAAGAACAGTGGAAGAAAAAATAAAACAGCATAAGAAAACTAGTTCTGCCAAAATTAATAAGGAAAAGAAGAACGTAAAAACACATAATTTTCAAATTACCCCTAGGATGTATGCAATTTATAAACAAATAAAAGACAACAGAACTGAAGATCACATACTTGAATGGAGTGTCTCCAGGGTTTTTTTGTCTTGTGATATGCTCGAACTGCCTTCCATGCTTGGCCACAAAACTTGCTAATTTGTCTACAACTTTCTTCACAGTAGGATCACTTGGGGAAGGTGGTGCTGCATGTCACTTAAAGAACCGATTAATACCAAGAGCATTGAAGAAGATAATGCAAATTACTTTTGTAGCAGGCGTGCCACAGTTTCCATATCTGTCATTGAACCTCTTTTCCCACTAATGTTGATAGGGACTTAAAGTATAAGCTGCATTCATCAGACAAAAGTAATTCAAGAATGTTTTGTCCTATTTATCCACCAGCTTACGCGAAGAAATGCCTAGACAATTTTCTCAAAAGTCAGAACAGAAAAGACCAATTAGCCCTTAATTGAGCATTTTGCTACAAAACATAGCCAATAATGGTATAACTAACTAGCTAAGAGAGCAGGCAACAAAACATAGCTTTGGATTGAGATATATAGACCTCCATCGCAAGAGAAACAGATTCACGTCCATAGTGGAGGGAAAAAGGAACTCGTAAAAATGTGGAGCTGGGAAAAGTCATTCAAGACCCTATAGATCCAATGGAGGAAATATGGACAAATTCAGAAAGGTAAGGAAAAGTAGCCAACGCACTTGTTGGGCCAACCAGATGAACAGAAACTCAGAAAGGCATGGAGGTACGAGTTAAAATTACTTCTTCAAAACAAGGCTTGAGAAAATCAATGCAGACAGCAATCAATCATGCTCCCTCACATGACAGACCAGCATGACGAAAATAAATGAAAAATTATATATATTAGTAGCTAACGATTTATGAGCTAAAAATATTACAAGTGAATGTATCATGACGGGTTTGCTTAATTGCCAAATACGTTCTATAGGATTCTAAGAGAGAGCAAGTAGGTCTTAAAAGAAATAAATGTGTGCAAGAAAAATGCTTTTTCTTATTGACACATCCAAGTTTCAAAATTCTGATTTTTACCCCGGCATGCTAACCTGCAAGTGGAAAAGGCATAATAATTGAAGAATGCATTCGGGTGAGCTTATAAGGTGTTTATAAGCACTTATAAGCTCACCCAAACACGCTCAAAGTCATACTTGCAGGTCTGTGCTAACTTAAGCCCGCCACTGATTGATTTTGAGCATGACCTGCAAAATTTCACATGCAATGGACAGATAAACAATAAATAATAAAAGAAGTTTACCAACGACAACTTGTCTTAATGACTTCTCAGGCGCATCTTGCTGGTCCAACTTTGGACGTTTCATTGGCACTCTATCTGACAGATTTCCATCATCATTTTCATCTTCATCCTCATCTTCACCAAGCTTAATAGATGGTGCAGCAAGTTTTGACTTTTGTTTCAAGCTGAATGCAAGTTTCCCGCTTGAAGGAGCTTGGTTTGTTTTCCGAGAACCATTGGCCTTAAATTCCAAGGTCGCTTTACTAATGACAGTCTTTGGAGTGTTAGTTACAGATGTATTTGACCCTGATTTAGATTTCACGGATGTATCACTCTTCTTGTCCTTCCCCTCCTCCTGTTGACGCTGTTTGAACCTCTCCAAGAATGACCCATCATTAACAAATAGGCTAGAATCTGTTGCCTTCTCCATTGCTGAAAGGCAAAGTATCTCCAACGTTTTCAATGACCCACTGCTTGACAAGCATGCTCACAAACTATTTAGTCGTGGAAAAAGTCAATTTGATCATTCTGACTATAAATCAGCAGCATTCTCATGCTTTCAGTTCAACAAAGTACAAGTCGTAATATCATTGTAACAGTAGTGTCACTATATGGTTTGAAACGGGTATAATATTTAGCCAGGGTGTAAAGTTTTCTAGCCAGATAATGCATTTTTAGTTGGACCAGCAAAGACTTCCATAAATTTGTTTTCTATTCTCCTCTTTATGCTTGTTATGTTCTTGTTTTAGGAAGAGGGACATAATAAAGAAAAATAATCAACCAGATACAATCTTCTATGTTCAATTGAAAAATAGGCACCCAGACAAAATCTTCTATGCTCAATTGACCAATATGTGACGATATCTTGGTGCTTATTTGTATAAATAATCCTACTAGTGAAACCAGGCAGAGGGCAAGCACCGACAATGACTGCATAATGGCATAAAAAGTAATAGTTGAATGATAAAAAAGTCTGGACCTGGTTCATACTCTTTCAACAGTCCTATTGGATCAATAATTAAACAAGTTTCCTGTTCTAAATATAAAAAAATTGCTAAGAGCCAAGTAATCTTAAAAGCTCTAACAGAAACAATTTGAAGAATTTGAAATATACTGGGGCTTCATAGAGAATGTGCAAACTCATAAAAAAAAATGAAAAAAGAAAAGAAAAAAGAAGTTAAATTGATGAACTTTTATGGGAGAGAACTCTCGTGCACAAAACAACTACCCACTACAATTTACGGGTCAAAGAGTTTGAACAGTGTAGAAGGGAGAGGACCCAATAACTACTCCATCTACGCCTTCTTTTCCCCCAATTTCATGTGATTTTTTCTAACTGTGGCAATCAAAACCTCGGACCTTAGCTAATTGTTCAACATTTTTATTTATTTGAGATGCACGGTCTTCCTACTTTGTTGGGGATGAGGAAATCCTACATGTCAAACAAAAATAATAACATTCCTTCGACCGATAATGAATTATTAGACAAAGAAATGTTACACAATGCTTTATCATAAAATCATGCCTTGCACCTAAGAATTCTCCTTTCAAGAGTGTCAAAAACAAAAGTAAAAGATAAAGAGAATATCATAGACAAAACCCAACCAAGAACATATATTTAGCTACCGCTGATCTGATTATAAAACTGAAAGAAGAGAAAATTCTGTGCTATAATACAACTCATCCAATGTGATTACTGACTAAATTATACATAGATATTCTATATGCATGTTTGCGGTGGCTACTAGAGAACAAGAGATCCTCAAATATATTTAAGCAAAACTAATCACGATTTTGGTATAAACTTCAAAAACCCAAAAAGTAATTTATAAAATCATAATACTTCGGTCAACCATACGTCAAGTCGAAAATAAGCTTAATCAAACTCATCAACATAATCATGATCTTAATAACGAAAAAACAAAAAGGAATCAGAAAACCCCATGGCAAAAAAACTCAAATTAAACAAGATTTATTTATCAGTATTACCGCGTAGAATACAATCTTGTACAGAAAATAAACCTCCAATTGAAACCCTAAATACGTCGAATCATCGATTAATCATTATTTAAAATGTTTTTATACCTGATTGATTGTACGTTGGTTTGATCGGAGAGAATAAAATCGAAGCCCTAAGGGGAGACTGCACAATAAAGTATTATTTTTATACACCTAATTTTCGTGATGGTACAAATTGGGGAAAAATGACCCCTAAACTGGGTATAGCGTCTAATTACCTGCCGTCAATTAGTCCGTTTCAGCTACGATGTCGCATTTTCTAGATCTTAAAATAGAAAGCGTGTCTCCTATAAATAATGTGTTAACAGAAGTTTTAAACAATTTTATTTTATTTTATTTTTTGTGACTCTCAACTTGTCAACCAAACTAAACTCATTATCGAGCCCCTCTTTGACAATCTTTATTTGAGAATTTTTTTTTACATATTCATTTTTAATCATATATTCATATAATAAAATATTTTGCACATAAAGTTAAAAAATTCTATTTTTTAACTACGTATACTTTTAAAAATCACTATTCAAAATATTATTTTACTCAAATAATGCCTATGAAACTTGGGCTACTTGGAGTTTTGGGTTCTGAAAATATTGATTTTTGGTGTTTATGAGGATCCATTTTTGAGTGATTTTTAATAGTGATTTTATGATAATCCAACTCATTTTGACAGTGCAATATTCAACGATTTTGAAAGTTTAAAACAGTAAATTATATATATGCTCCTTAGTAAAATTTTCAATTATAATTCTTGTATGAATATTTTTACTCATAAGTAATATTTTACTTAGAAGTAATATTGTTTACATATAAGTTAATTTTCAACTGCAAAATGAAAATTTACTTATAATTAAAATTTTCAGTTATAAGTAATTTTACTTATAAATGTATTTCACGGTTATAATATTTTACACATAAGTGAAGTTTTGCTTATAAGTAACATTTATATTTTATAGGGAAAATTGCAGTAGCGGCCCTAACCTTTTCATTTTTTTGAAGACTTTACCATGATCTTCATTTATTCCAACAGAGGTTCCTGACATTTCATAATTATGCACTTGAGATCCATCTGAACATAAACCATCCAAAACAATGTCAGTTGACCAATAAAATTAATGAATCAACATCCAATAAAATCGTGACGGTAGCAAATAGTTCAAGAAATTTTTCCGATCAATTGACGGTGTTTTGGACGGTTTCCATTCAGATGGATCTCGAGTGTATATTTATGAAAGATTAAATATTTTTCTTAACACTAAATGAAGGTTGGGGTAAAGGTTACAAAAAACGAAAATGTTAGAGACCGTTGCTACAAATTTCCCTATTTTATAATTGAAACTTTCCTTAATAAATAGTATTATTTTTACTTTATAAGTAATTTTTATAAATAAAAGTTAATTTTATCTTATGATTAAACTTTTTGGTGATTTTTTTTTATATATAAGTTAGTTTTGAATCAAATGTATGGGGTTGAAAATAAATATTTTATACATGTAAAATTAAAATATAATTTGGAAAATGGCCAAAAGTCGTCGATTTGGTGAGTTGAGAAATACGGCAAAAAATTACACTACATCAAAATTGGGTTATTTTTAAAAGCTTAAAATGAAAAATTTGTGCTGTGAGTTAACTTGGATGAGATATCTAATAAATGATTTGCAAATCAAACACCCGCAATCAGCAACTATATTCTGTGATAACAAAGCTACACTCCATATAGCATCAAATCTTGTCTTTCACGAGAGAACCAAGCACATTGAGCTTGATTGCCATCTTGTGCGAGACGAGATCCAAAATGGGACTATAGTCACTGCACATGTCAGCAGTGGGTTGCAAAGTGCAGATCTATTAACCAAATCATTAAGTTCTCCAAGTTTTTACGCTCACTTGTTCAAGATTGGAGTAGAAGACATCTACTCTTCATCTTGCGCGGGGCTATTAGAAAATGAAAATCAACAAGTGGCAAGAGCACGTGAACAGAAATAATTCTAGAAGTTTTGGAGGTTATTGCGATTCTGTTATACATTCTTTGTGCAGCCTATATTCAGCCTTTTTCTTTTTAATTATATTTAAACAGCTTGGCTAACAGAATTAGTTAGATAATATCTTTTGTAACACTATATATATGTATCTTGCTGTACAGTCACATATATCATAATGAATGCAATCAGAAAATTCTCCACGACTGTTTTCTGAATTGCTCATCTTTCCTCTGCTTTTTTCTTATATTTCTTGCTTTCTACCTGCCATTTCCATGTGTTCCCTTTCTTACATGACACATTCCTTATTTTAATTTTATCAAGAGAAAATTGAGGTGAAGCATAAAAAGATAATAATAATAATAAAATAAAAACCTTACTGGAAAGGTAACATAATATTTAAAGATGATGTTTTTCAATGAAATAGAACATTTCCGAGAAAATCTCTATTTATAAAGAGCATCTTATACATGATAGGGTGTATCTTTTAAAATATGGGCGGTAAATTGTTTTATGCACTTCGATAATAATTTCTATTTTGACTTTTTATTTTATTTTCTCTAATGAATATTTATTTATTTCTCCTCATCTCATATTTAACATAACTTTTTTTATATTTTAATGGTCAACCAATTCCGATGTTGTAGTAGTCGAGAAAAATAAAATGGTCAACCAATTATGCTAATATTTTGTGATGATCTAGCACCATGAGCCTAACCCATTTTAGAAACGACCTATGGAAACTTAACCCATGTAAGATTACGAAAGTTCAAGTCATAAGTTAATTAAAAGCCCAACAATTTAAGAGATTAAGTTTAAGTAAAATTGAATACAAAGACTTAATGAATAACTAGATTATCACAATGGTCATCTACTTGGTATTTCATATAGGTAACCCATGTTTGAATCACCATGTAGATGTTTTTTATAAAACTTTTATATGAATTATTTTTATGGTTTAGAGACTCTTCAAATTCTTAGTTAAAGACTAAATTTAATAAATTTAATGATAATACAACTCTCCCACTTAATTTTTCATTAAAAAGAAAGGTTATAGAAGTGGAAGTTCACTTTTTCATTACACTCCTCTTCAAATCCGAATTTCATCTAATTTTCTCTTAAAAAAATATATTTCATATCAAGTTCAATTTAAGGAATAATAAAGGTGAAAAGAAGGAAGACTTTTTATACATTTTGTTCTTTTATCCAAAAAAATTCAAGGTAGGTAGAGGTGCAAGTGTTCATTCGTTTTCAAATCTGATTTTTCGATAAATGTTTAAATGAAATGGTACTTTCGGGTACGGTGCTTCAGCACTACAACAGTTTGAATGATCATTCTCCGACTCTACGTGTTATGATAATGCTATAGTAATTGGATTTTGTCGGAAATCCATCTACGTGCGACGATATGAATCTATAGTTCGAAATTTCTAATTTGATAACAAATTGCACAGATGATATCTATTGAGTTTCAAACTCATGGGTTAATTCCATTCCTACAGGTTGAATAGATTTTCCTTGGGGCGTAGATGATGGTAAAAGATGATGCAACATATTATGGAGAAGCCGGTGATTTACATCTTTAGTTGATTTTGAGATGTTTACACTTTCTTTAAATTTGATTCATATGAATATTGTGTGGATCTATTTTACGAACACTCGTTATGAATAAATTATGTTCGAAAGTAGAGATGCGTCATAGGAATAAATTTACAAATCACCGTATAAAAAAAAAGTTAGGGACTTAAAATTTTGATATCTCTTCAAAAATTTCAGTTTCTGCCTCATCTTTAAAAAAATCATAACTCTTTCGCTATTTGGTATTTTTATACGAAACCAATTGGATTGGATAGCCTAATAAGTTAGATACTGAATAAAATCGAAATCATGTCAATCCAATATCGATAAAAGGTTATATGTCACATAAAGTAAACTGTACTAGGTGCTGTCTCTGTTTTTCAGCTTCTACCTTTGCTTTCAAAAATTCATAACTCACTCATTACTTGGAATTTTTGGATGAAACCAATCGGATTTGATAGTCTCATGGATTCGTTACTGAATAAATTTGAAATCATGTGATTTTGACGTTGGTGGAATTTTATATGCCATTTTAAGTGAACTGCACCGGTTTACCTTTCAATCGGGTCGCTGCTGAGTTTTGAAAAATAGTTAATACCCCATATGATGTCAATGGAAGCTAGTTTTTGACTATGTCATATTATAAGGAGTTTACTATCTTACATTAAAATTTGATGAAGTTTCAAGATTGATAGCTATGAAAACAAATTTATTTTGACAATTATTATTTGAGACAAAAACTGGAACAACAACATTACTTTTTAGATTTTGTCAAAACTTCACGTCAATAGTCGTTACATGCATAGAACCCATTCTAAAAACATTTTTGAAATTGTTTTCTTTTAGAATTGGATTATTGTTTAAATAAAAAAAAAAAAGAAAATTCTTTAATTGAATTCTAAAATTTAATCTTTATACATTTTACTAAAAATATATTGAACTAACTTTACGGCTAAGGTACAATGGTTGAGTGACGTTTCCGTCCATACGGGTCGGGGCGTTACAGATGTGATTTGAATAATTTAAATTGTAGAATATTGAAATTTGCAACTCATTAAATGCAATCACTATTAATTAAAAATAGAGAGTGGGTTTGGCTCTTCACATTTGGAGAATCAAACCCACTCTTTATTTTATAAAGATAAAATAGAGAGTTTTTTAGAACTTATTTTTATGCATTGACTATCTAAAATAAAGAGTATCGTGATCGTAGAGACTATTTGAGACGCTTTTGGGATTGATATTTATTTTGCCCTCGCTCACTTTGCTCAGTTGCTTAAACTCATTTGACTGGCATTTGGGCTTTGGCCATGATTTTCTTTTTCCAATTTGATTAGTTAAGTTGATTTTGAAAAGGTCATGCCATGTGTCATATTTGTCATTTTCTTTTTGAAAATTTTTGCTATCTTCAACAGTTTTACTGATATCTTGACGTGTCAAATTATTTTACTGATACTGATGAAAATTATTATTTGTAATGTTAAGCAAGATTCTTGAAATTTGTAGTTTGTGTATGTAGTACTCTTGCCAAATTTTGAGAAGAAAGTGGACAATAAAAATAATTAAAGATGGTGTTTTTCAATGAATTAGGATTGATATTTTGTTCATTTTTGGATGAATGGTGAGTGATCAAACATTATA